GGATTTAAGATGCTTTTGAACATCCAAGTGGAAATGGTGAGAAGGGAGATGGATGAATTGAGCTCAGAAGCAAGGCCTAGTCTGTAGAGAGAAATTGAAGTGCTGTGAGCATGGAGTTGGTATCAAAGTCATAAAAATGATAATATCACATAAGTGCAGGAAATATGGAGCAATAAGAAATCTCCAACAATTAAAGAAATAATAGAGGCAGACATGCATCCAGCAGAATGAGAAGCTCCACAGCAGAAGGAGTAAGCCTACCAGAGGGCAAGGTGATGGGAGCAGAGGCCTCCTCGTGGGTGAGAGGTTGAGAGAGAGAGAGATAAGTGATTAAAGCGACCTTTGGATTTAGAGTCGCAGAGGTCACCAGAGACCTTACCAAGAATCATTTTGATGGAGCAGAGATGGCTGTAGGATGCAGGAAGGAAGAATAGAGGAGAGACAGTGGGAGGAAAGGGAACCCCTTTAGGAGACTGGCTGGAAATGGAAGCCCATTGAACTGCTGCCTAGAAGAAGAGCATGGGGGACAGGATTGAAATCACAAAGAGGTATAATTAAAAACATGAGAGCAGGAGACTCAACTGAGAAACCATTCAGAATTAGTCCAATAAGCTGCCTGTTTAAAAGTCAATAGGAAAAAAAAATTTTAGATATTTTGAGTAGATTATATTTTTCATTAAAACAACAACAAAAAGACATGAACAATGCCTAGGAATAAACTTAAGATACACAGGCTCTGAAGAAAACAATAATCCCATCAAGGGGCAGAAAAGCAAAATTGAACAAATAGACAAATGTTATTTTTAGCTTGGTAGACAACATTAGAGGAAAAAGGCCAAATTTCCTAAACTGATACATCTAAAGAATCAACACTTAAAATCTAAATGGGATTTGGGCAAACAGAAGACAGAATATAACAATGATTCAAATGCATATCTGAGCAAGAAGAGCAAGGAGGCAGATTCCAACAACCAGTTTTTAAATTGTACTATAAATGTTGTTAGAGTAATAAAAAGAACATGACTGTGTTAAAACCAGATGAGTGGCCTAGAACAGCGAGCTAGAAATAGACCAGGTCATTGTGAACATAAGCAAACAGACATGTCTAACCCCTGAGGAAAAAATGGATTGTTCATTAAGTAGTGTTGGGACAATCAGCTTACCATTTGGGAAATCATAAAGCTGTTTCCTCCATGAGTCCTCACATCGCAGAGGCCTTGAAGAAGGCATGTCGAGAGGGTTTCTGGGTTAGAATCTGGGATGCATTCACTTTGTGAATGCTGATTAAATTGGACACAATTTGGACAATTCTATATGTACATTATACTTCAATAAAAGGTTTGCACTCCCTCTTTCCTTCCCCCTCCCAAAAATGACACAGAGATCTAGAAGAAAAGTGCAGTATGTATTTTCACAATCCTAATCACAGAACCCAGAAATTATGAAGGGAAACACTGATAAATTTGAGCATCTCTGAACTTAAAGTTCCTGTACAGAAAAAGGAAAACATGAACAAGAATAAAAGACAAATGGAAAATGACATTTCTGCAATGTCAGAAATATAGTTGAAACCTCATGTATGTGAAGGATTCTCACAAAAAGGTAAAATATTTAAATATGAAAAGAACTTAAAGTATCACTTCTGAATAAAAGAAATACTAATCAGCCAGGCACAGTGACAAATGCCTATACTCTCACCATGGTGCCACCACCATAAGGCCATCATCAGAGGCAGGACCAATGGGAGCTTCTGATCTTCGACTTTTAACCTCCAAACCTATGAGCTAAATAATCCTCTTTAAATAACCAGCATCTGTTATTTTGTTATAGTTAATGAAAAACTGATTTATACAAGGATAACACTAGGCAAAGTATAAGTTTAATACATGTTAGTTGAATGTACCATTTGGGATAATTCAACTCTTAATTCTATTTATAAAATAGAAATTGTAGCTACTTTGGTCCTTTTTGATGTTACACCTGCCAAACTACATAAGGCAGCCTCTAAACTTGGTATAAAATAATCCCAAAAAGTTTCCTGAATGAGTCACCAAAATAGGTGAAGGGGCCTTCTAATACAGAGGCTGCCTCCCCTGCTTGCCTCTGAATCCTGAGGGCTTATATGGGAAAGGGCAGACTTCAGAAGACTGTAAAACAGGTCATAAGAGAGACGGTTTAGCTGCTTTGATAGTTTGGATCAAAGATTGGAGATAACTGCCACGCCACTGGTGTTCAGGGAGGTGAGTTGGGCAGAGAAGATGTGCACAGGTATTGCTGGGGGTTAGGGATGGATTTCCCCATTGACATCCCTTTATGATTCTTTTGTAAAGATTTAGAATGTTTTTCAATGCTCTCCCCCCATGCTGGGCTGTCTCACTTGCTGAAATACCACGTTAAGTCTAGCCCCAAGGGAGCAGCCTTGCTGTGTCACCCACACCCCGCACTCCATAGCCATGCCACCTCAGACTGTGAGGGCCTCCACTGCAAAGTTGGGTGAAGCCCAAAGACAGGCATGCACTGAAAGAACTCGACCATCCACAGGAGGTACCAGAAATTCAAGCACCACTGAACCAAGGGATGCCTGGTGTCACAGACCCAATGTCTATGTCCCTCCAATATTCACATGCTGAAATCCAAATCACCACACAATGCTATAATATTTGGATTTGGGGCCATTGGTAGTAATTGGGTCAGAAGGGTGGTGCACTCAGGAAAGGGATTTGTGGCCCTTTAGAGGTTGCATCTGCAAGCCAGGCAGAGCCTCACCAGAATAACCATGCAGCACCTTATTTTGAACTTCCAGCCTCCAGAACTTGTGAGGAGGAAATTCCTGTTATTTTCAATCCCTCTACAGTATTTTGTTACAGCAGCCAGGACTAACACCTGGCTAGGGACAAGGGGCCTGACTTCTGGAAATTTCCCAGAATGAGGGCAATCCCTGACCTATCAGTAGAGGCCTTATACTGGTCCCTTCTGTGTTTTAGCGAATCTAATGTTTCTATAGAAAAAGTATTTTCCTTTCTTGGGCTACATACTCATGACTCCTCTTATTTCTGTTAATGACTAACAACTAAACATCAACATTTTTTTTTTTTTTTTTTTTTTTTTTGGTACTGCAGATTGACCTCAGGGGTGCTCTGCCTCTGAGCTACATCCCCTACCTTTTTTATTTTGAGACAATATGTCACTAAGTTACTGAGACTGGCCCCAAATTTACAATCCTCCTGCCTCAGCCTCAGCCTCTTGAATAGCTGGGATTACAAGCATGTGCCACCACACCTGGCAAAACAATTGTTTTTTAAGAGGCATCTGTACTAAACTTATATAGTCATTAGAGTGGGCAAACATATTACTGAGTAATATATAAACATTTTTCTTTAACTGATTTAACAGCCTCTTTTAAGGAATAAGAGGAGGAAGAACTAAATGAAAGGAAAAGCCAATTCCTAGCTGCCACATGCCCTGTAGATGGCAGTGACTCTCACAAGGTGGTCCACAGCCCAGCCATACCGGATTCACAGGGGTAATTAAAAGTACAAGTGACTGGTCTCTAGCCACAGAATCTGCGTATCTGGATAGAGTCCAGGAATCTATGTCATAGCATTGCACTAGCAATCCTGATAACCACCAAAGTTTGAGAACCACCTCCAGGGAAAGGCCAGTCAGCTCCTGATAGTGACAGCCCCTACCAGATGCCTGGAGCAGCTTCCCTTACTCTACAACCAGCAATATCCCAGGAGTAGGCACAAGCTTCCCAGATCCCAACTCTCGCAATGCAAACCCATTAAGAAAAGCAAAGTATCCCAATTGTACAGTGACATAATTTAACTGGGATTAAAAGTAGGTCACCAGCACAGTGGCACTTACCTGTGATCCCAGGATTCAAGAGGCTGAGGCAGGATGATCACAAGTTTAAGGTCAGCCTGGGAGGTGTAGGGAGACCCTGTCTTAAAAACTAAAAGGGGCTAGGGGTGTAGCTCATTGTAAAGTGCTGCCTGGGTTTAATCCCCAGTACCATCACACACAAAAAAAAAAAAATATTTAAAAAAAAAAAATACTCCTACTCCCTCTTCCCAACACACCTCAAGTCCTTTGAGGACAGCAAAGGTCCAACTGGCACTTATAAACATTGCCCCAATGGCCAAGCACACTGCTGTCTTATCTCAGCTGTTCAACAGCATGAAGTGAATTGAAATATTTCCTCCTGAGGAGCATAGACTTCACACAATAGTAGTAAGGGATGTTTTGATAGCATTTTTAAAAGGCTTAACTCTGAACCCAGGAGGAAAACTCAAAAGCAACATCCCTTACTCTTCCCAGCCAAGTGGCTCCTCCTTGCCAAGTGACATTAATGCCTTCACATGATCATCAAGCATCGTGTTTTAAACAGTAACACTACCACCTCTTTGGTTTTTGTTTCCGATCTCATCCTGTCCAGGCTCTTCAACATTTGCACCTTATTGTCTTTAACAATAAAGGCTTCATCAGGACTCACACCCATAAAAGAATCTTTTGGTTAAGGAGAATAGCATTTGGCCTTGGACTTTTATTCATTATTATTGTTTTCATCTAGCATTCATTTTGTGTCAAATATTTATCCGGATATTTTGCATTTATTCATGTCTTTTAACAGAATAAACCCACTTAGTGGTGCTATTATTCATCCCCTTTCTCAAGGAGGGTGCCCAGGAGGAGCGAAGGTGTAAAGAGCCAAGAGCCCATTGCTGGCCCCAGGATGCTGGGAGCAGAGCCCTGTGGGCCAGAGCACCTGGTCTCAGTTGGCTTCTTCCCCAATCCACAAACCCACCAAAAGCAAGGTGGCCTTTGGGTACCCCAAGTCCCCAGGAAGAATGTTCCAGGTGGCTGAGAGCCCAGAGACTCCATTCCCAATGAAAGCTGGGGAAATGACCCAGCTGGTCATTCAGCCTGGACATCCAAACCAAGTAGTTAACTTTTTTCTTTTGCCCTTTTCTGAAAATAAAATAATAGTCACAAAGGAATTTTGAAAAACAAAGACACAAAACAAAACCAGCCCCTATTTTAAAGACAGGTGGGTGGAGGAAAAAACACTCCTAAGAGTTAAAAACTTAGTGGTCACAAATTCCTGTTAAATGACAGGAAATGCATGTCAGGGTCTGCTCCGCCCACAGCAGCTCTTTCTCTGAGAATTTCACCTCCATATCTACGGTTATTCACAGTCCTGGCTCTTGACCACCCTGATGCAGCTCAAGCATGGACAAATGACCACAACTGGGTAATGAGAGGCCCCTCCTAGCTATCGAGAACTCATCCTCCGGTTCTGGAGGCCAGAGGTAGGGCTGTGTAAGGGATCTGTGGGAACACCACAGACATGGGCAGGCCCAGCACATGGGTCTTCCAGGAGAGAGGAGTAAAACCCACATGTTCAGGGGGGGATGAGTGACCACAGAACCCAGACTGATGGGGAGTGGGCAGGGCCTGGAGTGGACAGCCTTAACTTCTGGACCAGGCCTTCCCAGGGCCTGCCCCACTCCTGCCCTTTTGCTACAGCCAGATCCTGTGGATTTCTGTTTCTTGTGACCAAAAGAGAATGAGCAGTACAGAGTGATAAGGCATATAGCCCCCCAAGACCTACAACCCTACAGGCCACCTTGTGTTATGGTTTGGATATGAGGTGTCCCCCAAAAGCTCATGTGAGACAATGCAAGAATATTCAGAGGTGAAATGACTAGATTATGAGAGTTGTAACCTAATCTGTGGATTAACTGGGTGGCAATGTAAGCAGGTAGGGTGTGGCTAGAGAAAGTAGGTCACTGGGGGTAAGTCTTTGGGGATTATATATTATCTCTGGTAAGCAGAACTCTTTCTGCTTCCTGGTGACTAGGTCCTGATCATTTTTCTCTACCACAGCCTTCCTCCATGATGCTCCACCTCACCTTGGACCCAGAGCTATGGAGTCACCCTGTCCCTCTATGGACTGACCCTCCAAAACCATGAGCCAAAATAAATTTTTCCACCAAAATAAATTTTTCCTGTCAGGTATTTTGGTCACAGCAACAAAAAGGCTAAGGCTGACTAACACACATTACCTGCCTGACTTCCCTCCTGAAGCTTCATGGTGCCAGGGTCCCCTGGATTTCACTTTGCCTGTGCACTGAACTTCCCTTGCCCCATAGCACCTCCCTAGCTCGGGGGCTATGTTTTTCAGTTGCCCATCTAGACAACTGATCAGAGCCAATTCAGAATTAAAGCCCATCATCTTGCAACTACTCCAGCTCTTCAAGGCATCCCTTTCTTTGGATCCTCCCCAACAATACCCAGTTGAAAGTTGAGCAAACCCTGAAGGCGAAGCAATACAGGAGATTGACCGGCAAAGCCTGGCGTTGATGTAGCCTCTTTCCCAACCCAAATTCAAACAGTGGGGCAAAGGAACCCCAAGAAAACTCATCAAGTGAGCCAAAACCTTTGGTTATACTCTTAAATCTAAAGGGCTCAGGGTCCCTCTTTCCCCCCTCCCTACAGACACTCCTGGACTGTACCTGGGAGATAAATGGTGCCACCATCGCACCAATGCGACACAGGGAGCCGCTGGTCCCCATTCCCAGAGCGCGCATCGTGGTGGGGTAGACCTGCGGGGCAGGGGCATGGAGAACACCAGTCAGTGACTCTTCCCAGAGTTCTCCTCTTCCCTCCCAGATCAACCTTTGTTACAAACATACTGAACACCACATACCTTCAGAACACTCAAGATGCTCCTTTTCTCTGATACACACCTTTGAATTCCACCACCACCACCGCCCCCCCCCCCCCCCCCGCCCCAACCAGCTCTGGGAATAGAACCCAAGGGCTTGGGCATAATAGGCAAGAGCTCTGCCTCTCAGCTACATCCCCAGCCTCGCCGCAGCCCCTCCCCCCTTTTAAAAATTTTTGTTTTGAGACAAGACTTTACTAACTTGCTGAGACTGGCCTTGATCTTGCAAGCCTCCTGAGTCACTGGGAGTACATGCATGTGACACTGTACCCCCACCCATCCATATGAGCAGAGGTCAATGAGGAACTCTTCAGCTATCTCAGGAAGTACCTTATATCTCGTTGCTGTATTAATTCAGTAAACTAATGCATATGGAATAAATCACAATTATATTCAAATGTAAGCCCACAATGCACCAACCAACAGAGAGAAGGGGAAATGGTCTTCCAAAGTAATGAAGGTGAAAAACACATTGTAATTTTAAGAGGGAGAAACAGGAGCTTCACCCAGAGCAGCAACACACTGCTCCTGACTCTTGACTCCTGCAGGCTGTGGTCAGGGTGATGGCTTGCTTTGTGCATGTAGTGGAAAAGGGAGAAGGTCCCATCTTTCCTCTCACATTGTCTTTCAATAGACTAAACAGGGAGGGGAAAGTCCACATCAAACTTGCTAGTGCCATTTTCATGGGCTGTCTTGAGAACATAATTGACAGAAACCAGGGGCGCATTGTCTACAGAAGGACACCCTGTCTAAGTGGCTCACTTGAATGCCCTGAAGTAACTCACCTCTGGGAAAACCCTTCTGGGAAACTCACCTCCGCAGTGTAAATGTAGATGGTGTTGAAGTTGGCCGCCACCAGGGCCCTGAGCATGAAGAGGAAGCCAATAAGGCCGGCACTAGAGGAGAGAAAGCCAAGGGAAGTCCAAAAAGCCATCACGGAGGGCCACCCAGGGTCCCGTTCCAAGTGCTTCACAGACACTGAAGCAGCCACTTGTCACTCAACCAGAGGGAGGCACTGCTCTTAGAAGGCTTAATGATGGGGTTCAACTACCTCCCAAGTGGGTCATTCCACCTGGCCCCCTAGATGAGCACATGCCCTGAAAAAATGGTACAGTTTTCAGAACTGATGATATGCATTCACCCCTCAGTATTCGGGACAGACTGGTTCCAGGACACTCCCCCAACCTGGTGCATACCAAAATCTGAGGATGCTCAAGTCCCTTTTTTAAAATGGCATCGTATTTGCATTTAACCCCATATTCCTGTACACTTTACATGTCTCCAGGTTAGTGTAACATCTAGTACTTATTTATAAATACTGAATAGTAGTGTAAATACAGTAGTGTTTAGGGAATAACACAAAGTAAAAAATTCCACACATGCTCAGTACAGATGCAAAGTTGTTTTTTTTGTTTTTTTTTGTTTTTGTTTTTTTAAATATTTTCAATCTATGGTGAGAACCACAGTTGCAGAGGCCCACTGTATATTATAGCTCATGCCTCTCTAGGACTGCACATTAAGAGTGAAATCAATCTTACCCCACAGATCAGCTGTCCCTATCACTAAACTATCTCGGCACTGGTCCAGAGAATTTGGTAAACAACTAGGGTTGTTCTCCAATCCTCCAGGAAACTTTGCGTAAAGATCCTAAGTATTTTGGTGGGAATCCCAATGCTTCACCTCCATCCTGAGAGCTGAGAGGTGCAGGAGCAGTAGGAGGAGGCACCAGGTGCTTGCTCTCCACTCTCTCTGGAAAAGGGACTCATGCCAGACCCCAGTGAACACTAGGGGTCTGGAGACCTCATTGGAAACCACTGTAAATGGAAGGACAAATACCTTGAAGTACAAATATTGAGGAGGAGGAAAAACAAAGCCGTGCACCCCATGGTGATAGCAAGGCTCAACCGTCTCCCCAGGAAGTTGATGCCCAGGATATTTAAAGGATTCACTGGAAGGCAAACAGCAAAGACAATTTTTGAAACTTTAACAGACAAGTGACATTTCATGACCCCTAGCCAGGAGTCATGCTTGTTATTTCAGAAAAGAACAACTTTCTCCCAATGTCTCTGGTATTCCATCCCAAACCCATTCACACTGTCATCAAACTCACGACTCCTTCAAGACACTTTCCCCACAGGGGTCCCCAGGATGGTGCACGTGGATCTGTTGTTAATGGTCAGTTTGCTGGACCTATATTTTAAATGTTTTATACAGTTTCTCATTGAATTCAGAGTGCCATTGATTTTAAGTACCATCATTTTATGTCAACTAAGACAGAAATAATGCTGCCATTTGAAATCTAATGAGTCATTTCAAGACACATCCCAATTTCTGAGATGTTAAGATGTGGGCAGAAATGCAACTTAACATAATAATTCAAAGTTTTACGCCTCTGGACCCTTCGTTCCCATACCAATCCATGTTGGAGACATGTCAGCATGATTGAGGGTCTTGTGCAATTCTAGTAAGTAGGAGCCACATCATAGGTTGCATTTCTCTCCCAAGACTCCAAATGGTGTGTACCCAGCCTATTATGGTTTGGATATGAGGTGCCCCTCAAAAGCTCACATGTGAGACAATGCAAGAACATTCAGAGTGAAATGATTAGGTGATGAGAGCCTTGACCAATTAAGTGAATTAATCCCCTGGGAGAATTAACTGAGTAATAACAGAAGGCAGGTGGGGTGTGGATGGAGGAAGTGATTCCTTGGGGTGTGATTTTGGGGTATATATTTTGTATCTGGTGAGTGGAGTCTCTCTCTGCTTCCTGATCATCACGTGAGCTGCTTCCTGCTGCCACATTTCTTTCCACCATGACATTCTGCCTCACCTTGAGCTCCAAGGAACAGAGCCAGCTGTCTATGGACTGAGACCTCTGTAATCAAGAGCCCCTAAATAAACTTTTCCTCCTCTACAATTGTGCTAATCAAGCCTGTTAGTCACAGCAGCAAAGAAAAAAAAGTTGACTGAAATACAGAGGGCCCCAGCACAGAGGGACACTTACAAGCAATTTCCCCAATGGTGCTGATGATCATTGTCCGGTAGTCAGACGGGGCAAACAGGTGGCAGTGGCAGGGACTGTGACTCTCCTGTGAGTCCCCCCCAGTCACCACCACCACCTGTGACTCTGACTTTGAACCACAGACCAGGTCCCTCTCCAGCAGCTCGGCACTGGCCAGGATAACCCCGTAATAGGCAAAAGAGATTCCCAGCCTAGGAGTGAGAAAAGGACATCATTAGCAGACGTGAAGGACGGAGGAAGCTCAGGAGGCAGATGACGGGGAGAGGAGTCCACGTGGAAGTCACAAGACAGAATGTGCAAAAGGAACAGAGAACCCGGCTCACACAGCATCATGCAAATGTCTTTGGGGAAATACGTGTGCATTTCTGTTGGGTATAAACTGAAGAATTATGGGGCCACCAGATACGCACATTTCAATTGTAACAAAGTCTGCCCTAATGTGAGCTGCAGTCAGCTGGTGCTAGCTTTTTCATGTTAGCCATTCCCATGGACTGGTCTCTTGCTAGGTGTTAATTTGTATTTCCCTGGTGACATATATGTGGCATTGGGGACAGCAGCATGTTTGACAAGTTTTTCTGATGCACACATTATGAGTGACCTATCTGTTCAAGTCTCTAATGTATATATAACATATATATTGTTTAGCTGTTGATGGACCTTTATTTTATTCATCTATTTATATGCAGTACTGAGGATCAAACCCAGCGCCTCACACGTGCTAAGCATGCGCTCCACCACTGAGCCACAACCTTGGTCCCTCTAGTCTTATTTTTAAACTGGGTTGTCTTACTGGAAAAATTACAAATATCAATAAAACATTTTTACACAGATGTGTATATGAATATCTCTAAAATGTTTGTTGCCTATTTAGAGCAAATTTCTTCTCCCAGTTGGTAGTTTACCTTTGGGGATTCTCATGATAATTTATGGCGCAGAGTACTAACCTAATGTGTAAAAGTCATCAATCTTTTCTCTTATCCTTAGCCCCTTTTTGTGTCCTGATTAAAAGGACTTTGCTTACTCAGGTCAAGACTGTAAAGGAAAAAAAAAAAAGAAGCACACAGGGGACCACAAGAGGCTAACCCACTGGTCACTGTTGACTTCAAGGGATCAGTTTCTGTCACAAGGAAATGAAAAATGAAAAGGCTACAAAAGTGCAAATGAGAGACTCTTTTTTTTTTTTAAGTACCAGGGATTGAGCTCAGTGGTGCTCTACCTTAGCTACATCCCTAGCCATTTTGTGAGACAGGGTCTCAC